CATAGACTTCTATTTTATGTAGATTGTTTTAACTATTCTGTAAAACTGGAAATTTTCAATCAAAAGTCTACAGATTTGTAGAATTTTAGCTGGTCAAATCAAATGGTGTGCCTGTCTAAAATGACAAGTAGACATGTGGCTGGCAACAAAATCAAATTTATTAACTTGTGGTGTAATTGTTATTCATACACTCGTTCAATAAATATCCTGTGTTCAAAATTTACTCATAAACTGTTTTTTGTTTGAGACTGAACTGTGTTATATATTCATTTTTATAAATGTTCTAGTACATATTTATTATTATAGGTTGAAAGTGAGGATAAGTATGAAAGGATTGGTGGCACAGCAATGGGCGGTGGTACTTTCTTAGGACTAGGATCATTACTAACAAATGCTAAGGTACATTATTATAAAAATGATTAATTGTTATATGTAGTTACAGCCAAAACAAGGTCAGCTTATATTTAATACATTGACGAAAAACACCACAAGAAAAATGTAAATCAGGCTTGTAACTCAACTCGAACGCAATATTCATCACTGTAAAAGTGGATAAATTCGAACCAGCCAGCTCATGACCGGAGATGTCCGGTCGTCTTCGTTGATAACTCGCCAATTCACCATAATCGTGGTGGTAAACTGTTTAGCTGATTTTTCAAAAGATGGATATTAAATTCATATTCATTCCAACTTATTTGAATATTCTTTCGGAAATGTGAGACATTGTTCAAAAAATCCTGTACAGGGATATGTCTGATGTCAACTAATAATACGCAATTATCCAGGCAGTACTAGAAATTATTGCTGATACTAATCATGTTTTGTATTGGGAAGTTGGATACTTGAACGTGTAGTTCCCGGGCGTGTAGTAGACGAGCATAATCGTACTGTCACATGTTTTTTGTCTTAGCCTTTTCTTTTCGTCTTAACCGTCGCAGTCCGTTTCATTGAATGTTTAGTTTGATGATTAATAAACATATATTCAGTGTGAGACTGTTGCTTTCAAGTTGTGTTAATACAAAGATAATACTTGTCCCTTCCATTGCCAACGTATTCAATATACGAAAATAGCATGTGTGTGCGTTTGTGTGAGTGAAAGATGCAGGTAAGATTTCTCGTCGCAACGCGTTCTATTTATTTCCAACGCGCGTGGTCGGTGCCTTTGATTGCGTTTATTTTGTTCTTTCATTTGCGAAATCTATCGCTGGCACCCTTTATTTTGTCATGTCTCACAACTGAATGTCCAAGTTGACTTTGTTTTGGCTGTAGTAATTGAAATTAGTTTCAAATTACAAGTTATTATATAATAGTTATAGTTACTTTCAATAACTTTTACTTTATTTCTAGGAATTTGATGATTTATTGAATTTGGCCGTAAAAGGTGATCATCGAAATGTTGATATGTTAGTTAAAGACATTTATGGTGGTGCCTATAGTGCCTTGGGATTGCCAGGTGATCTGCTGGCCAGTAGCTTTGGTAAAACTGTCAGGAATTCAAAACAGGCAACAGGTGAAGCAGGTTAGTATAGTTACCTTGTGTCAGTTTAAGTCACGAATGGGTCTTGTGTGTATTCATTTGCACAGATTTTCTGACATTATCTAATGACTTTCAGTCAAGTTTCAATTTTCTATATCTGAGCATGGGTGCAGTTAATTATGGAAAATCATTTTTATTGTACATAATGGGATAATATTTTCTTTCATTTTGGAAACTATCTGAACTTGCAATTTACAGTATCCAAACTAAATTTTGGTAATTCTATTGAGGTTTGGAAAAATTTATTATTGATATGGACTCATACTTTCCATTTTGCTTTCGTTTGTACATAGGAAGTATATGAATTAATTTGGGATCCAGCCATGCGGATTCCTTCCTTTCATCAATGTGTCCATTCGGAGCTATTTGCAAGTAAATTTTCTTTACCATTTGATCAAATATACCAAACTGGTAATCATTTTGGTTCCCAAATTTGCAATCATTTCTCAGAGATGAATGGGACAATTACTTTTATAGGTGTTTGTTTGTCGTTAGCCTCCTGCATCATCATCAACTTTTCCATTAAACAACTAAAAAGCTACTAACTCTGTTGCTTTTAAGCTTTTCACATACAGTGTGTATATATTCAATAAATATTTTTGTAATTTTTGATTAAAAATGTTATTATCAAATTCTTTTTGAAAGCCACTACTCATATTGCTTTGATATCTAGTGTATATGTATCTTGGGTAGACCTCTATTTGATTTGAATATTCAGTGATGATATCAAAATTTAATGAAAATGTTGTTATGTTTAGTGAAAATGCTTTTTGACTTCTTCTTGATGACTGCTATTACTGGCCACTAAATGTATATAATGACCGCTACTGGCCACTGATTGCTACATGATAGTGACCTCTAAGTTATAAAATGGATATCATAACCATTGTATGCACAATGATGCAAAAATAGATGTTAACATACTGACCGTTATTGTGTACATTAATGAAGTCTTTGTTTCCAATACTTGTCAGCTCATATTTATGCAGAAGAAGATATTGCAAAAAGTTTACTGCATATGATAAGTAATGACATTGGCCAAATAGCTTGTCTTTATGCTAATTTACATGGTCTTAAGAAATGTTACTTTGGTGGCTATTTTATACGAGGTCAACCAGTTACAATGAGCACTATTACATTTGCCATGAACTACTGGTCAAAGGTGAGATCATTTATTAATATATTAATATTTGTATTTATATGATCATATCACAGATTTTGTTTTAACAAATATTTACTGTAATTAATAATTTATAATCATGGTTAGATGAAAAATATGTTGGCCTTCTGTCAACCACAACATACCTGCTTTTTTCAACCCTTTGTTCAGTTGTGGGGGTGGGGGACACCTAAAATTAATCCTTTATTATTGTGACAGAATGGGAACGTTAAGTCTTGGTGTTTGGTTTCCATTATAGATACCAGATTGCTAGATATGCAAATTTCAGGTGGTAGTGTGGCAGGTTTACCAAAATATTGTAGCGTATCAAGATAGACACTAATGAATTTGATAGGTAATGAATCTCAACAAACACTGGAGTAAGCAGATCACACACAAACTAAAAATGTCCCAAAAGATTTTACTAGAGAAAGAGAAAACTAGTCAGACTTGAAAACAGAACATTTAGTGTATATAAAGTCGTGGAATGGAGAATTCTGATTTGTGCTAATTTTGTTTGAAAAAGATGTTTTAATGCCCTTAACATTATGTACTCAGCATCTAGAGTTTTGCTATGACTTTTATTTACAATTAATCTAAAATTCAAATGTAAGCAATATGTCCTTTCATCTTCCAGGGTGAAGTTCAAGGTTTATTTCTTCGACATGAAGGTTATTTAGGTGCTATCGGGGCTTTCCTCAAAGGTGCTGAAGAAGACGGTCAGTAATTATGACAATAATAAATCTTTTTTGTATGTTAGTTAACTAAACCTGAGTTCAGCCTGACATAAACATCACATTATATCAATATAATACCACTACATAAACCTAGCAGGAACTGTTTTGACATGCTAGTTATACTGTAAAACACTTTTCTTTTTGCAAGTCACCAAAACTGCAGATTTTTTCATTGGGAAAGTATTGCTGTCAAAGTACACATTGTATCATATTATTTAATGGTTTATTGTAAATAAACTTTTATCACGATGGTGCATAACAGTGGTTTGAAATATTACTGATATTTAACACTGAATATGCTGATATGCCCTCTAAACGTCATCAGTCTGTGTATGCTCAACAGTTTGCAGAGAAAGCCAAATCGTGCAACGATATTATTTTTATTGCTGTGAAAATGAGAATTTCAGACTGGATAACAACAATTAATTGGATGACAATAACTCATACATAATGATGACTGGAAGTTTATTTTGAAAAAAATATATCATTGGCGACTAAAACTGCAAATGCAACTGCAAATGGATTAATACTATATTCCATGATGCGACTTGTATCAATCTGCTTAATGAACAAGTGATATCATGTAATAACCTCATAACTGAAACACATTTTTTTCCACAGTATACAAATGCATGATAATTGTTACATGCAATCAAAGCTGATTGTATGACATTTGAAATATAGAAATGTATATATACTACTAGTAAAGAATAAGGGTGTGGTTGGTTATTTTGTTTGACAAGACGTAATGACTTAGTCACTGCCAGCTAATTGTACGTATGTATTTTTATTAGACACTGTTAAATATCAGTGGGGTGAGAATTATGCTGGCAGTTCTGGTCTTACATGTAGCAGTCCTCCTCCCTATGGGAAATTTGCTACAAGAGGAAGAAGTGGGACAGTAAGTATTACTCTCAGATGGCTGTTTGCAGTGTAATGACATATTACAAAGAAAGATTTTGTAAAGTAATTAATTTATGTTGGTGTCTGTTTTAAATATATAATTGATAAATAAATGATGTAATTGTAAAAGTTTGAATCAGTATTTGTGCATGCTAACTTGAAGCACATCATGTGTGCTGGAAAATGTGTTACATCAGAGTATAGAATGTACCTGCATGCACTGATTGCCCAGTGCAATGTTCAACACCAATCTTCTCTGATAGTGACATAATACTGCTACATGGACTGTACAGTATTTCAGCAGTGCATCAAAGATGGAACTCAGCATTAACTGCATGTAGGTTTGAATAAATTTCCTCAGTTTTAGTATTTTTTTTCATTTCAGTTTGACATGTTAGAACTGGACAGACTAGATCATCCATTAGTACATTTGCCAAAGTTGAGAGATCCAGGTCATTATCATGCTGATACTGTAGATTTGACCAAAGATACAGAAGCAAGAATTTACTGGTTAGACTGTTTTGAAGAGGCCATTGACCGTGTATGTATGAAAATCAATTAGAATTATGAACTTTAACAGTAACAAGCATCACTAAATATATAGCTACTACCATAAATAAAGTGTATGTCACATGCCTGTGCCAATATGCTTAGTTTAAATAGGGAGAGGTACACATCTGTCTGTCTGTCTGTCTGTCTGTCTGTCTGTCTGTCTGTCTGTCTGTCTGTCTGTCTGTCTGTCTGTCTGTCTGTCTGTCTGTCTGTCTGTCTGTCTGTTTGTCTGTCTGTTGGGTGACTGTTGGCTATTTTGTTTAAAAAAAACTCATACCTGTACAAATTATTTTTTTGATGATAAGGTTTAAGGTGGCTGACTGGCATCCATTTAATGTTTAAAATGCATTAAAATCAAGCATTTTTGATGGATGTTTTTTTTTTGCAATGAATGCTGTTCTAGAGCCATATCTCTGACATGCCTTGACGATCATATTCTAACTTCAAACAAAAGCTTCAACTTCATGTACATTTTACATCATCTCAACCATATACACTTGTATTTTTCAATGACTAGGTTCAAGATGGTCAAATGGCGGCCATTTTAATGTTAAAATTGATCAAAATCAGTTTCTATCATATTTCCAGATCTTTGTCATGCATGGACAGAATTTGTTCAAAGTTGGTACATTCATTGAACAAATAGGAACCTTGATTGCTTTTAACAAATGTTCTTCCGAAGCCACATCTCTGACATACCTTGACCAATCACATTCACATTCATTCTAAGCACATGCAATTGTTTGACAACCAATTCAAGATGAGTGATTTTTCTATTGAACAACAGGGACTTATGTTACGACATGACTTATGTTTTTAATTGCTAGTTCATCTTTTTGGTTTCTTCTGTCTTTTTGCATGTCTGTTTTCATCCGTCTGATGTTATTTAAATTTGGTAAAAAAAAAAAACATAATAATAATATTTTCAATAAATCTTAGTTTCTGAGATTGGGCTGGGTATTTTCATTTTCACTGGGATTTTATCATTAGCAATGACTTAATTGCTACTCACCTTGTTGATAATGTTGTAATGGTCAGAACAAGTCTGAGTACTAGACTGCAAAATAGCCTGGGTGTCAGAACCATGTATTTACACAAAAGTTAAAGAACCTAAAACAATTTTTATCTTGATTCTTTTGTATACATTTTATTTTCAAAAAGTAAACCTGATTATTTTGACTAATCTGTGTATGTTGGTGTTCGCAGGTTGCTAAATGTGCTGTTAAAAGTCAACCAAATTCTGAAGATTCCCAAGAAAGAGCTCAACAGTTTATAATTAAATACAGAAAAAGACTTCAGGAATTACGTGAGCAGCCATTGTAAGTATGCTACTCAGCAACAAGCATCCATCTGATTTCAGTGAATCTTATGCATAAATTTTCCGTGAAAATCCATGATTAGTCATGATTAGTTTTTGTGGCAATATGTGCATAATAATGATCTGTTTTGCATAAATTTGTCTATTTTCGGATTTTTCACAAATATCTGGTGTACTGCCAATCAGATTTCAATTAAAGTTGGTACTATATAAACATATGTGACAAGGAGGGTATAATGGATAGCTGCTACACTCTTCACCATCACCATTAAATATTGACTTACAATCAGATCAATGAAAATGTTGGCAGGATGCTAAACTGATTTTGTACATGTACAGATTTTTTGGGGTAATCTATGGATGTGATTAGTTTAGAATTGAAATCATGCATATTAATAACCCAATTTACTAGTACATAAATTTACCACAAAAAATTGTTACTATATGAATGTAAGCACTTTAGGATAATCTACGAACATGATTAATTTAGGGTTGAAATCAATGCATATTAATACCTATATACATTATGCCTCTCCAAAATCGGATCGTTATTAGTCCACCGTGGGCTTGTCTGAATGGAGAATCTTACAATTCACTATCTTCAATTACCCACCATAGACTCCGGTCAGTCAAAATGACTATTTTGAACTGTAGGCATTAATCAGCGATTCTGCCAATGACAGGGAGATAGAATCTAGCCCCATGACCCCAAGATTCTTTTCCCTTACGTAATGAACCACATGACCGAGCCCATATGGCGGCGCCATTACAGCTGGATATCCACTCTGCTTTTTCTCTGCATTGAGTGGAGATGAAGTCAAGCGAGCTCTACCTGGATCGCTTGCTTTTTCCTGTCCAGGTTTCTAGCTTGGGTTGTTGCCGCTGGTGTGGCATCCGACATTGTAGCTGGTAGGATAAGTTTCCCTTGTCATTTTTACCCTCGTGTCGTTTTTCCCTTTGTGTGTAGCATTTTTCACAACAAAGAAATAAAACCTGAGCGTCGTAGCTTAACACTAGTCGATTGCGTTACGTCACCTTTTACTACTGTATTTCGCTTCCCTCATGCATGTCGTCCTTATTTTATGCTTGATCTACGTATTTAGAAATGAATAGATGTAATGACAGCACCAGGGCTTGCTGCCGTTTTTGGTCTCCTCGTTGTGCAGTGGTTATATTCAGAATTTACCAGCATAGAACCCGCATCCGAAATGCTTTTTTGCCGTATTTTTTCTGAGCCCTCAAAATCACTGAGACTGACTGCGTCGCTTGTATTTTCACAGCAAGGTCGCGCATCCAGTAAGAAAATCGGTTAAAGTGAGTTGCGTGTTTGGCATAAGTGGAAAGTCCTCGGCTACCGATACTTCGTGTACCAAGACGTCGAGTAGAAGCCCGATGGTGGAGGTACCAATATTTTTTCTCGGTCTCCCCCCGCTGATCGTATGGCATCCTCACAGTCTGTGTTTTCAGGCGGTGGTTTACCTGATTTTACCGGCTACAGCGAGGCTGTGCCCCTGGAGGTCTTTCCTCCTATGGGGCCCATTGCGGGTCTCTTTGTGGATCCTTCCTTGCACGTAGTCGGGTTGCATCCGAGATGAGGGCTTTGGTCGAAGGGCTGTCGGGGCAAGTTTCGTCCCTGGCAGGCCGGGTAGATCAGACGCAGTCAGAGCGAGCTGTCTCCACTGCGGCCCTTTGGTGGGCAAGCAGGAAGAAACACAAAAGCATCATTTTCATTCAAACACGTTACTTCCAGGGAACCCCCTTTTCCCAGCTGCGGCTCTCCCTATGATTTGGGTGAGGCAGAGGGTCAGGCTCGGGCACTGAATACCAACGAGGATGCTGGCAGCCTAGCCTCCAATCTCGGGGCAGGGCTTTCGGGGCAGGGCACATGTTGCACCCCCCTTACTTTCAGCCAGCCAGGGTTCGTTGCTTGGTAATAGTACAACGGTAACGAATTTACCCTTGTGTCCAGTCTCCACTGTGGGTTTTGACTCCCACAGGGGTCCCCAGAGGGAACCGACCCTGTCATGAGATGCACAGTCGAACACGCTCTTTTTCACATATTCAAAATGGAAAGGAGACAGCCAATACCTCTGGTGGTCCCTCAGAGTCTTCCATTCGTAACGACTCAGTGAGCCACGCCTTTGGGGTGATACGGAGTATCATCTCTCCTAGTGATACGATGTAATTACCCCTACCCGGGCATCGGAATCCAAAGCAGCCCTGTCGACATGTCTCTATCTGCCCGTCCGAGTGCGGAGTGGAGCGCAGGCCTGCAAACGGTGTTGATGGGCGGACGTTGGTCAGCCACGGAGGAGGTAACGCTTAAGGCCCCCGGGTGGGGTAAAATCTTATGCAACACTTTCCACTGGACCCAATGCTACCTGGTCGGTGTAGTTTCGGGATCAGACCCCAAAGTGTGGGATGAGACCAAAACACCCCCAACCGGATCCCAAGGCTCCTTCCCCAGACACCGGTACCAAGAATTTCCGGGTAAAGGGGGACAGCCACGTTCCATGGAAGTTCTCGGCAGCTCAATCTGAGACGATCCATTATGCCCTGAGGGCAGAGTTGCTTTAGCGCATTATTGTGCGCGCCCAGGGGGTACGTCCCCCACCTCAGTGACGCAGACTGGACATCTTCCACCCTCTTTGTTTGGGGAATGGCGAGTACAGTCTCAGAGCTTCGGAGTGCAATGAACCAGAGGGTTCGGATCAAATTCGCTAGCCAGTTGGTCCTGCCAAGGGTAAGCGGAGGTCACCCCAAGCACAGAAAACACAACGCCCTAGGGCGTCATCCGCTAGCCAGAGTCAGCTAGGAGGCAAGTGCTCATACCCTTCCACGAGAGGGAAGAGTAGCGGTGCACTGCAGGGAGGAAAGGGCCAGGTGGTGGCTCCTCACCTTTCTTGGGCGGACGTCCAATGTGGCAGTTGGGGAAGCGTGTTTGACGCTTACCTCTGCAACCGGGGGATCAGGCATATGTTCCAGTGGCCAGGTCACAACTTAGTGACTATTTCAGGCCTTGGGGAAACTCACCTTTTGGGAGAAGAGAGGACCCACACCTCGCAACTGCCAAACCCATGGCCACATATCCCTGTTGTATACAGATTGCGCTAGTGTAGTCCGGTTTGGAGACAGTGGGTGACCGATCCCTGGATCTTTCCAGGTGGTGACATTCTGTTACGAGTGTCTCCCCTTTTGGGCACTGCCAGGGGACTCCTGCAAGGCGGAAGCAATCAGGCAGGAAGTAGCAGTTTGCTGGAAAAGGGAGCCATACACAGGGTAGATCAGCCGGCATTGAGTCCAGGCTACTACCCAAATGTGTTCGTAGTACCAAATCTACAGGTGGCGGGCGTCCAGTCTTGGACCTAGGCAGACTGAAACAGTACGCGCTCCTTGATCGGTTCCGCACGGAGACGCCATTCAGGGTTCTTCTCTCCATCCACTGTTTCGACTGGCTAGCCCCACTAGACTTAAGCTTCGCCTACCTGCACATACCGATGCACCCAGCGAGTTGCCATCTTCTTCGAATCGCCCAGCTGGGCCAAGTATTTGAATTTCGGGTGACCCCCGTTTGGGTTAGGCACAGCGCCCTACGTGTTTACCAGAGTGATAAAACAGGTAGTGCTGCTGCTTCACCAAATGTCGGTACACCTCAATCCGTACCTAGACACAACCCGGACAAGGGGTTATTAGCCAAACACGTCAGGCTAACACAGGATTTACTTCACCAGTTGGGCTCTTTAGTAAATCGACAAGTCCCATCTCGATGCACAGTTGGTGTTCCTGGGCATGGAGTTTAACACAGAGGTAAGCTTGGTATATATATTGCAAGCGTGTTGCTTAGCGCTGAGCAGCCTAGCCAAACGCCTAGTCAGCGTTCCCTCGGTGTCCCTCCGAGAACTAATGCGGATCATCGAAATGATGACCTCAGTTCGAAGGGTGGTTCCCTAGGCCGCACTACGCAGCCACAGGGTACAACGCTTGTTGTTACAATGCCAAGCTCTCCTATGGGAACTAGATAGGCAGGTTTTGATCTCGGACCAAGTGAAGGAAGCCCTGCCCTGGTGGTCGTCACTGGCCAACCTCGGACAGGGGGCCCCCTTGGACCCACTCGCCGCAGGTATGACTCTTGTAACAGATGCCTCCCTCCAAGGTTGGGGAGCGCACCTATTGGAAGAACAAGTCCAAAGATATGGCCCGCATTAGTTTCGGGACCATCATATCAACCGGCTCGAACTGAAAGCACTGCACTTAGCACTACCACATTTTCTACCCGTAGGTCGAGACCACAGAGTCCTGCTCCGCACAGGCAACGCAGCAGTGGTCTCCTTCAAGAAGGAGGGGGGACGCGTTCCCCATCGTTGTCAGTCCTAGCAGAGCAAATTCTTCTTTGGTGCCTGGAATCTAATGTGGAGCTAACCGCACACCACCTTCCAGGGGTGAGGAACAGTCTTGCAGATGCGACTCTGTCTCCAGAACACGGAGTGGCTGATACCCCAGTGGGTAGCCTCCAGGTGCACACCTGCATACTGTCATTGGTAGCACCCAATTGGCCAACCAAGGCCAAGTTTCCACTGCTGTTGGAAATGCCAGTCGAAACACCAGTAGTGCTTCCGGACTTACCGGACCTGCTGGTATCACTTACACCCATAGAGGTTCTCAGTAGACCCGCACTTACGAAAGCTTTATCTGAGCGAGCTGCAAATGTCCTGGCCAGGGCGAACAGGGATTCCGCCAACGCGGCCTACATTTCTAGGTTGTGAGCATACACTGATTGGTGTAGCTGAAGGGAGATTGATCCATACCATCCCTCTATTGGCCAGGTAGCAGACTCATTCGTCCACCTGTTTGACGAAGTGGGCTTGTCCTACGCAGCGATCATTGGCTCCAGGTCGGCCTTGTCCCCCACCATTGAGAACGTTTCGGGAACAAGATTATCCTATTATTAGGAGACTGTTTACTGCTTTCCAGACGCCGAGACCCCGTACAAGGGAACCGCCCAAGTGGGATTGGTCGGTCATTGTTATCCGCTCTAAGCAGACCGCCCTTCGACCCTCTCCGTTCAGCACCACTCAAATTTTTGACGTGGAAAATAGTCTTTCTACTGGCCCTCGCCTCAGGTAGGCGTCGGTCAGAACTAGGCGCACTGTCTTTCTCTGCGCCACCTTTATGGACGATCAAGTTGTGCTAAAGACACAAATCAGGTTTCTCGCCAAGAACCAAATCCCAGGACACTTTCCTCAGCCGATCCATCTCTAGATTGACATGCAATATATAATCTGGAAAAAAGATTGCAGTCATTCTTTAATGAGGCTATCTGGGTTTTCATTCTTTACCGAGTTTTCTGTGGGGCTCCAAACAAAGGCAAACTGTTCTTGGAAATTATGTCTGTGATAGGGGTTAAACACTTTTGAAGTCTCTCATCCACATATTTAAGATACTGTGACTGCCCCAATTCCTCGGCACAATTAATTGACCTAACAACAGTTTCAGGCATAATATCCTTGGTGTCTAACACCAGCAAATCAGGGCTATCTTCTGTGAAAGGGTTGCCCATTTCCTCCATACAGAGATAAGGTCATGTACATCTCTGGCGAAAGCATTTTGCACACTTGAAACCTGTTCATGGTGATGGAAATCATTTATCTTTGGCGCAAGAAAGGTAGCTTCAAACTCTTTCACAGCCCTTGCAAACTCTGGTCCTGCAATCATCCAGCGTCTTAGAGCTGCTGGGTTCTCAGTCAAACAACAGCTCCCCCATCACCTTTAATTACTTTATTCTCTTGTTCATGATTTTGGTCTAAAGCTATTAATGAGAAGGCATGGTGAGTTTTCTTTACAACAAACTTTCCAGACTTGAACTCTGCAAAAATGTCAGGATGTTTCTCTTTCAGAATGACCATGTCTCTGATATGGGCAGAAAGCCATCTGGCATAGTTATTGTGGTCCAGTGCAAACATCCATGGAACTATCTCAGAAAATATTTGAACATATAAGGAAAAGTCACCCACTCTTTGCGACCTTACAAAATCCAGCAGTGTAAGCTCCAATTTTAAAGTAGTGGGCCAGAATTTGAAGTGAGGGTGTCTTTTAGACTGTCTGTCCACGTAGTGACACCCAGAACTTCTGTGCCTTCAACAGAATCAGTATATGCTTTATATGCTTTTCTCTGTAGGCTATACAGTGCACATGCACTTACTTGATGAGCATAGCGAGAACGTGTGACATGCGAGGCCTTCAAAATTGCATCTGCTTTCCCTGGGGTTGTGATTGCAGCTTGCACTAATGCACTTGTCCACCCACTACAATCCAACCAATGCCCAAGCATCTTCAGGGAAGTCATTTCAATGTGCAGTGCTCCCATCATCACTAGGTATTTGTCTTCCCCATTGTGTCAGTAA